GGATGAAGCTCGATGCAGAGCTCAGATCGTTTCATGACCATCACTTGAAGGCCGAGTCCCTACCATGCAGCGAAGATCGGCCTTCTAATGTTGACGTCGCACAAGGTCGGATCCGATCACTTCGTGATGCTTCCGTCGGAGGATTTTCGTGATCTAGATGACTACATAGAGTGCCTGCCCCGCTTTGCCACGATGAAAGGGCCTCAGAATTCAGATGCATCTGGGAGGTATCTGACAAACGAAATACAAGTCGGTGCTTCGGACGCGGAGGCTGGAGCGAACGCTTCGGCTCTTCAAGTCCCGGCTTGTGAGCCAGTGCAGGTCAACGGCGGTGCTCAGTTCCGCCGTGTCATGTCTGAAGCTTGCACCTGAGTCCAGGAAGTAAGAGTGTGTGTGTGTGTGTGTGTGCGTGTGTGTGTGTGACACTCTGACAATAAAGAGATAATTGCAGGGGAGGGCGGCATGACTGTGGGACCGCGCTCAACACAGCCACCACAATCATGGGATACCGAGTCCAATCAACTCGGCGCACCCCACTGCAGGATGTAAGACTAACTACTCCTGCCAGGGGTGTTCATGTGTGTCTTCGACCGGCATTCTGTCAAAGGGCCGGGCGTCGCCGCTTGGGTGTTCAAGTGGTCTCAGTGCAAGCAACTTCCCGCCGTCCTTCGCGTGTAACGTCAACTGTTGCCTTCTCAAAAAACCGTGATCAAGAACCGCTTGATCCACATCTTGAGCTGTAACTTGGTTCGATCCATTGAGCTTTTCCTGGATTGTTTCAAAACAGACGACCACAGCAGGCCATGACCCAATCCTCAACGTGGCGCGGCCCTTACCCCGGACGACGACACATGAGGGCAGGACCCAAGCCTCACATGGGGCAGGCCCCTTTCCTAGACGACGCATTTTAGGGGCACCATGACGTGGCTGCGGCTCTGACCTGCGAAACGTCATGGCTACCCCAGACGACGCTTGTTTCGAGCATCATGGCGGGGCTGCGGCTTTGACCTGCGAACCGCCACGATGCTCGATTTTTTCCAGGTATTGCCCAAACCGTAGTGGCTGTGTGTGTGTGACATTCGGATAACAAAGGTATCAAAGAGATAATTGCAGGGGAGGGCGGCATGACTTTGGGACCGCACTCAACCAAGCCACCACAGTCATGGGATACCGAGTCTAATCAACTCGGCGTGTCTGCAACTTTCCCATTTGAAGCTGAACGGCGAGGGGCCAAGCCAAGAACCCCACTGCAGGATGTAAGACTAACTACTCCTGCCAGGGGTGTTCATGTGTGTGTGTGTACACGCCTGTACATGGCGACTGACTTTGCATGCATCACATGTCCACATCAGGTGGTTTGCATCTGAACTGCTGCAAGTTTATCTCCACGCAGGGTATGCGCAAACAGTTTCTCCTTCCCGCATGGGTAGCGTTGACAGAATATTGTTTCCGCACGGTGAGCGCCAGGGAATGCGCCAGCTTTTTCCTTCCCGCACGGGAAGCGCGAGTAGCCTTTGTTACATCGAACATGCAG